GGCGGCGGCACCGGCGGCACCGGCAGCGGCAGCAGCGGCGGCGGCGGCGGCGGCGGCGGCAGCAGCAGAAGTAGCAGCGGCAGCGGCAGCAATAATCACCTGGTCTCCGGGCTTTCCTAGAAACTCCTTGCATCACCACTTCTAAGAACCCCAGTTCTAAGAATCAACAGAGCTCAATTCTCGGAATTTGAGCTGCCGACTCTACCACTGCGGCGCGGCAGGGGAGGACCCCTTGTCGCCTCCGCAGCCTTGCGGCCCCGCCTCCCCTCCGCACCCCCCTCGGCCCCCCGGAGCCTGCGAGCCCAGAGTCTGTCTCGGGGTCTCGGGGTCTCGGAAGCCCACCGCTCGGAGGGTGCGGCCGGATCTGCGAGGGGCCTGGAGGCGGCTCCCCCCCCCCGTGCTGGGAGAGATGGTGCGTCCCGCTCGGCCGCGGTCACGTGGGCGCCTCCTCTGTGACGTCGGGCGCTTCAATGTAGCGAAGCTCGGCCTCTGGAATTCTGAGAACTAATTTGCTATTCGGTGACATAAGAGGGGGGGAGCGCGCGCCGCCTGCCCGGGGTCCGGGGCTCCTTCCCCGTCTCGCGCCCGTAAACACCACCACCACCACCACCACCTCCACGAGCTCAGGGCACCAAACGGGGGGCAGGGGCTCTGGGTGCCCGGAGGAAGCCCGCCTGCCCAGATGTAGGTTAGGCAGCTCGAGCCAAACAATAAACACGCATCCGGGGCACGGGGAGAGAGGACACAGCAGAGAGGGGAGAGCTTTCCAGCTAGAATCTCAGCACACTGGCCAAGCCGAGTTTGGTGGGTCTTCGTGGTCCGGGTGCCTGGGGTGGGGTGGGGGTGGGGGGTGCTAGCCTGGGGTTCTTTGGGGACCGGGCTTTGGCCTTGGGGCGTGGGGGTGGAGGCTGGGGTGTTTGTTGCTCCTGGGTTTTTGTTGGTTTGTTTATGGGGGGGGTTAAAAAAATTTTTTTTGGCTTCCAACTTAGCCTCTAGCAAGTTTCTGCTCTTATATTAAAAAGCCCGTGAGCCCGGGGTGCCTTGGGATTTTCTCTGCGGGTGCTCTTGTTGGGTGTTATTTATTATTATTATTGTTGTTATTATTATGATTGTTATTTTAAAGATAGGCTACTTTTAGCATTTTAAGGGGGACTTTTATTAGGTTGTAACCTTCTGGAAGAAGCATAATTTGGGATCGTAGATGGTAATCTCTCTGCCCTCTCCCTGTGGCCCCCTCCCGCAGGCAGATGTATTTTATGTTCTCATCCTTCTAAATCCCGCTGCTCTCTCACTCTCCCTTCTTCCCCCCCCCCCGCGCTCTTTTAAAAAAAAGGGGGAACGTTCTGATCTAGGATCACATACTCTGAGGATTAGGGCTCTGTTCTCTTGTTTCTGTTCAGGACTGTAAGTGGTAGCTTTGCTCTTTTACTGTTTTTGTTGACTCTTGTGAAATAGATTTCATGTTGTAATGAAGGGGGAGGGGGGACGACAAATCACGGAAACAAATAAATTCATCTCTATTTTTGGTTTCTCTTGGTTTTCCTGTGAATCAAGGGCATTGTAAAAAAAAAAAAAAATCAGTTGGGAGAGAACAGAGAACAGTGAGAGGGAATTCTCCGGGCCTGCTTGGCCGGGCTCAAGAAGGCTGAGCATGGATTGGGAACAGACCGTGCTCCACGGCTGCCGGGCCCAGCGTAGCCCAGCCCAGCCCAGCCCAGCCCAGCCGAGAAGGGCTGTGCACTTTACATACGATTTATGGGAGGGGGGCTTACGGCGGCGACTTTTTTTTTTTTTTCCAAGCTAGCTCGCTGCCCAAGTGCACTGTGGGGCCTGGCTTGTTTTTGTTCTTAGCTGACAGTTTCTCTATTTAAATGTGGTTGGGGTTTTTCCCCTCCTACTCATCCCTAGATGAAGGAGATTCTTCCTTGATTTCTGTCTCCGTCTCTCTCTACATATGGCAACTAATGATATTTGAGATTCCTCAACACTTAATCCCAAATGTTCAGACCAGAAGTCCCCATAAGAGGCCGAGGTGTACCATGCTTCCGCTGATCCTAAATCCTATTCCTTCAGGCAACTCATTGCAAAACAGAGAAATGTGTGAAGGTTGGTAGCCTTTCTACAAAGTTATGCCCGTTTGGGGCCCCCCCACCAATAAAGTTAGAAAAAAAAAATCCCTTTATATTGAATTGTAAGGGGGCAGGGCTAAGAAAGTGAAAGCTGCGGACTTTCTCTCCCTCCTTCCCCCCCCCCCCCCCCCGCACGTCGATCTCGCTGGCTCTTCCATAAGAAGTGAAGCATCAAAGAAGGCTTACTTAGGACATTCTCTGGATAGTGCACCCCAACACCTGGCAGAGTGCACCAGGCTTGGGTTTTTAGAAAGGAGCAGAGCCACTTTTGGGGAAGATCGTGGTGTTTTCCACAAGGGTCCGAGAGAAACAAATACATCGCCTGGGGTGTGACCATGTGATATCTGAAGAGTCAAATACTTATTGACAGATGGATCTCTGCAGAAAGCAATGCTTTGTAGAGCGTTCTTAGGGAAACGCAGAGGCCTAATCCAACACCGTTGTTGGAAATAAAATTCAGGCCATCTACCGCCGCCCCCCCCCCCCCCCAATCAGCTTTTCCTGGTTGGCCTTCCAGCACTTACTTTCATGGAGTTTCAAGTAGATTTCTTTTTTGCCAGAAATAAGACATATACATATGTACGTATGTATGTATGTAAGTTTGTATGTATATTTACTTCTCAGTGTTTTATTTCTTTGCATTTTTCCCCTTGCATCTTTTATCTGCAGTGTATATTTGGAGATTCTTTACCAAAGCAGGTAAAGATGTATACTTGTTCGCTCCTCAGCATTTTCCCACCACTGTACTGATTTTGCTGGAAAATCCCTCATAAAACTCCCTGCAGGCCCCACACCTTCCCCTGTCCACAGTGACCTCCTGCAGGTCCCCTGCACCTTTTCCCTCTTGCCACTCTGGGCTCAGCCCCATGGGGGCACTGCAGAGCAGAGTGAGAGCCTGGCTGCGTGTTCTTCCATTCCAGCCCCCACCTCCTCAAGCTCAGGGAGACAGGGAGGGAGGGAGCTTTGGGGGAATGAAATTCACCATTCCATCACCTCTGTTAGTCGTGGGTCTGGGCCCTTGGAGTGACAACAATGGTCAGGTTAGAGGACTGACGGGCCTATGCCAGGACCCAAGGGGCTGCTTTTTGTTTTTATTTATTACATCTCTAGTTGGACCTTACTTGGGGGGGGGCATGTGAGGATTAGCAGGGAAGGTAGGTTATTTGTTTAAAAAAAAAGGAGAAGAAAGAAAAAGAAGAAAATCTTTTAAAATTTAGAAAATAATTTAAGATACCTGCTCAGCTTATGAAGTGAGCTGACTTCTCTTTACCCTAGGAACTGAAAAGAGCCCTATGGGCTCTGGAGTAAACACTCCAGTTTCAAACACCCATACTAACACAGATTCTGTTATCTCCTGAACCCTGTGAAGGGCTCTTGACCGGGGTGATCTGCGGCCCCCTCCTCACCACCTTCCCCCCCACCCCAGCCCTCGTAAGGCCTAAATGCAGACATTGGCCATTCTGTTCTATGGCAATTCCTTTCAGAATTTCCTCCAGTTTCTCCCTGCTACAAACCAGAGAGGAGGTATCAGTAGCAGACTAGTGCAGCCCCTGACACCTCAGGAGTGCCTATGCAGTAACACTTGAGGAGGGGCTAGAGGTAAGACAGAAGGTACTTTTCAACAGTACCTAGACTAGACATCAGTGGGTCTGGGTCACCTGCTCAGATTAGGAGGGGGGCGGAATGTGGGCGCCAGTGTCATGAATTAATAGTTGCTTAGCACTGCCGCTCAAAATAGAAGAGCAGAAAGCAGTTCCTGGGGGGGGGGGGGGAAGGGGGGGAGGAGGGTTCTATTGGGTCCTGCTCACAGCTGCTGGGTAAATATAAACTTTAATAGAAATGCCAATGGGCTACTCCTAATATTACATCTATTTAAAGAAAAGGACAGATTTTCACAGTCAGTTTCTTTCTTCTAGCTCAGCTACTGAAGATCAAGTCGCCTTTATAAAGGAAACCCACCCCTGTCCTAACCATGCAGTCCCCCCACCTGCAACTCCTCACCAAAACAAAAAGAAGTGGGAACTCCCGGCAGATAGATGCACAGTTCCCTAGTAACACTGCCACTTCAGACTTTCTTTCCTCCTGCCTGCCCTAAGGATCTGACAGTACTCAGACCGTGTCTTTTCATCTTTCTCCCTCCCCTGTTATGGTGAATAGCACTCTGTGGCATTACAGTAAGGCTATATGCCACGGTATAATTTTCGAGGAAGAAGACCCTTATTCTTAAAGGAGGAGTAAATAAATCTGCCAGTGGGTCATCTGGGTTTCCACATTTTGTGTTATTTGTGCATTTCTTCGGGGACCAGGGCCGCAACTGGTGTTTGCCTTCTAATGACAGCTTGGGCTTGGGGGCGGTCGCCTCCCTTGGGCCACAATATCATGCTACTGCTTAAGGCAAGACGTCAGGTGCCTGGTTTCAGGTTTTGCCCATTCATCCCCTTGATTTGCATGAAATCACATTCCGACCCCCCCCCCCCCCCCCGCCATTATCATAAGCAAACTCCAGAGAGCCGGCGGACATCAGAACACACTGGGACTGCAGGTACTATTTCTGACCTCCTGAAAAGAGGATTGAACTTGATTTCAATTCACACATTTGCCTGCTGCCTTGAGCTGGATTACTTGGAGACAGTTGTGTGTCCCTCGTGTGCGTGTGTGCGTGGTTTTGTTTTCAGAAACCCTCTCAACCCAGTTTTCCCCAGTGCATTAATTTTCCAAAACTTCCCAGGACTTATTTATGAAAAGGAAATGCATGGTGAGTGCTTAAAATAGAGAAATAATAATGAAAGGGAGGGAGAGGGGACCTCTTGTTTATGGCATGGGGCCCTGTCTCTTCGAATAACAGGGTTATCTTTCGCTTCCCATGAAACCCTAGCATGAGGAAAGGCCAGCGCAGGGACGCACCTCGGCTGTTTGCAAACCAAGCACGCTGGGGCCTGGCCTGCTGGGCTCTCTACGCAGAGACTGGGAGTGGAAAAACTGGATTTGCGTGTCAGGCCTGCCTCTTTCTTTCTTTCTTTCTTTTTTTTTTTTTTCCTTT